AGGCGTTGTGGCGTGCGCCTGTAATCCAGCTAAAAAGTGGAAGTTACAAACTGATTCAGCCCAGGACGCAGGTTCGAAACTGAGTCACGTCTTTCGGATGGTGACGTTTAAAGGTCGGTCCCAGACGTAAATAATCATATCTGATTGATACACGTCTGTAAAAACCCAATACACACACACACACAATAGAGACAACATTTTTCCTATCCATGTTGTATGTCGCGAGTGAACAATTTGTCTATGCTTCTGTTTTCCGGAGTTGAATGTTCAAGTAATGCGATAGAAATCTGAAACTACATGTACAGTAGTCATTAAATCATTTCGGAGAGCATTTGCAGTTAAATTCTAATTGATCTTCGTCTAACAGAGAGTAATCTATGAGAGGTCTGATAAAGGACTATCGTAAGAACCGTTCATGATCCTGAAGAATTGTATACAAAATAGTTGAAAAGCAAGATATAGGAGGTTTTCAGGAAGCGATATATATCCAATCCATGTTGTATTCCTTGCACGGGGTTTTATGATTCGAGCTGAGTCGTGATCATAACTTTGACGACATGGAAATGTCATTGAACTCCTTAATGATGTAAATGTACCGTACGTGCAGAGTCAGCCTGGTAATTCCTTGTCAAGTCCACCAATAGGGGGTTATCTGTGTGCAGCTGTTGGAAGAATTCATTCATTATACGATGCAGGATCCTGTGGAAAATAAACACATAAACAGAGGCTTAAGAGTGATAAGGGGACTTTTCGATTTGCACGTTCGCTTGTGGACTGCGGTCGGGTTGACTGTTCGTTACCTCTTCGATTTCACACGACGACGCTCGCTCAGTGACGTCTGTCATGCATATTTTTGCGTTCGCGCGCTAATTAGCTAGATCAGAATTATGGCGAATCTTCATAGACTTCCGGAAGAAATGCGTTCATTTTATGAATCATTCTGCAACAATTTTGATTCAAGGGAAATTATAAACAAGAGAACGTGTTAATTTTAGAACGTGTTAATTCTAAAAACAAGCGGTGCCCGGGCGAAATGGGCTAAAATCTCGCCGCCCGGCCACCGAGCAGGCTACTTTGGGGGATTGTGACCATAGCTTTACGCTTCCACCACTCCCCGCTTGCAGAATTAGGTAAATTGGGTCCATTTTGTGACTTCAATGTGCTGTCTCGTAACTACAAAATAGCGTATACCCCCTGGACATCCAGCCCCAGTCAACACCCCCTAGGACAACTACCTCCTAGGACAACTACCCTCCTACGGCAACCACCCTCTAGGAAAACTACCCATTAGGACAACTACCCCCGGAAAACTATCCTAGGGGATAGTTGTCCGGGAGGTAGTTGTCTGGGGGTAGTTGTCCGGGGGTAGTTGTCCCGGGGGGTAGTCGCCCTAGAGGGTGATTGCCCTAGGGGGTAGTTGACTGGGGTGATCATATGGGGGGTGGATGTCCTGGGGGCAGGGGCGTACGCAGGGGGGGGGTTGGGGGTTCAAACCCCCCCCCCCCTTGGTATTTTTATGTATTTAAACCCCCCTAAAAAAACCTAAAACCCCCCCCCCCCCCTTTGTTTTTTGTTTTTTGTTTTTTTTATTATTTAAAAAAAAAAAAAAAATTATACCCACTGCTAACCTAAATCAGGTGACCTTACCCCCCCCCCCCCCCCCCTCAACGAAGAAAAATGTCAAATTTTGAAATTTCGAGACCAAAAAAAAAAAAGTGTCCGCTTACCCCCCCCTGAGCGACTTTTCGGCTGGCTGAGTCGTTGCGATTTTTTTTGGCCTCCAAAAAAAAAAAAAAAGTGTCCGCTTACCCCCCCCCCCCCCCCCCCCCCCACTGAGCGACTTTTCGGCCGGCGCGATTTTCAAATTTTCGGGAGCAAAATATTTTTAAACCCCCCCCCCCCCTTGAAAAAATCCTGCGTACGCCCCTGCCTGGGGGAAGGTGTCCAGATACGGAAAATAACATTACTTGGAAAATAATGATTACAAGATCAAAATCTAAGTGTAAAAGGGGTTAAGGAGTCATAATTTAATCATATAAACATACACGATATATACCAACGATATATTAGTTTTTTTAAAACTACTTGTCAGAACTGAACTGCGTTTGATGTTGCTTGGCTTTTTCCTTCTAAGTTTCCTGTTTTATTCTGGCCTTTTAGAATTTGGCCATACAACCTTCACTTACGATTCGTCAGACTGCTAGATAGTGAAAAAAAAAACATCCAGAATCATCAATCTTAGAGGAATGTCTCATTATAAGGAGCTTTCTTACCTGCAAGATATCGGAGTCACAGTAGTAAATGACCTGAGCCGCTTGTTGTAGGCATCATGAATTCTACGAGAAGTAGACTCTGATCGTTTTGGGGTCAGTACAGAATGCAGACAGTGCAGTGTTTTTTTTAATTATTCCCTCAACTGGACACGTTTATACACGATTTAATACCTAGAATTTAAATATGGCACATGTTTATTAACTTTGACTAATACTTAGAAACCCGTTGCTCTGTCCCTGCAAGTAGTTTTACTTGCACCATGCAAATAGCATTGCACCATGCACCTGGTTCTCGTAAGCACACACCCACTCATCGGTCTGCAAGAATCTTCAACTGTTAACAGGCAGACAACCCCAAAAAGAAGAGGCTACTTCTATGCAAATAAAAGTCTATTGTATTACTTCACGAATGAATGATCCCGTGTCCAGCAGGAATATAGATGTTTACTATTGAAAGATTCAGAGGCCGGCAGTTCTTTTTAACAGGGGCTATTTGTGTTAGAATAAAAGAATGCGCTTTGGTATTCTTCACGCGCCTACGTACGTTGGTTCTTGTTACTGGTATCCAGGCTCGCTTTGGTACGAAAAAAATAAGAGGCATCCAGGAAACAAGGTGGAGCTTGGTATATTGAAGTTTGAAGTTTGAAGTTTGAGGTTTATTTGTTCCACATTTACATCAAAAAATTATTTTATTTTTTTGATTTTGTTATACAAGCGTATAAGTTATAAGTTAAAGATTTCAAATCAAATATAATGTACGGAAAATGGGTACTAAGTTTCAAAATGTATAGATATGACAGGCAAGGTAAAACAATGTAATACATGGGGAGCCTAAATAAAAAGCATAGCTTGTATGTAAATAGGCTCCCATACTGAGTAACACAATATAGTAGATCTGAATTTAAAAGGTACTATAAGAGGCGAACACGAAGTAGTATAGTATAATATTCTGGAGACAAGGAGAGTGACTTTGAGAACAAAAGAAAAATAGAATAAAGACTAAAGCAAATAATTTAATATTGCTTAGTAGTGCATTCCCAGCCTCAATCACGCCATAACGGGAATCTAACCTTGATAGCAAACTAGTCTAGAAGAAAGAAAACAAAATCAGAGAATCTTAATGGTGAAAGTTATGATTTTAAAAAATAGCAATCACTATATTTCCCTATATTTAAGGCTTATCAAAGTGGCTGAATCGGTAATGTCTTTGTATAATCGCGTTTCCCTATCTCCGTGAATATGTGGCAAGTATATGAACATCGACTATGAGAGATACCCAACTTTGGTGCCAAATTACATGTACGTAAAGGATAACATTTCCACGTAACATAACAGAAGAAATAAAACGATAAAGGCTCATCAAATGCAAGTGTCCAATAGTTTGTCTTTTTATTTAGCATACGAGAGCAATGCACATACACTTCTTTCTATAATGAGTTGTTCGAGTTCTGGAAAATGTGGAGAATGTTTTGTGAGCTTTTAATTTTCTGTATTTCAGTTTGATTTGATTTTTTAAAATTGTTATGTGTATGTATTGCATAGATATCAACGTATTTACATTTACAATCTTATAACTTTAGACGTATGATAATGACATAGTATATAGTATATACATAAAAGGGGTCATTTTGAGATTAAGTTTGTAAGAAAACTCGAAGAAGAAATGTCACCTGAAGAAGATTGTTCTTAAAGTGACCAGGATATAGGATTAGATGTAATTGAAAAATTTGAACCAAACATTTTTCTGCAGTCCGGTTCCCCAATTTCCATGTGCAGTGCATTATGATCTTTTGCAAGACTGAGTCAGTTTCTTTTCATTCTGATCATTCAAAATATTTATATTTTGATAAACATCAATCCCCAATTCCTCATGCACTGCATAATCCACTTTTCACAAGTGTTTCACACAGTTGCTTTCACAAAGTAATTGCAAGTACTCGACTTAATCCATATATTGAAATAACTTCTTGTAGACATGTTAGAGAGGATCGGCCATGGGGCGCCAGATTACCCGATTGTGAGGGGTACTACATGCTGCCCTTAATTACTACCTGGACCCTACACACCATAGGATCACCATCGCTTATCGCTTACATTCTCGTTAAAAACATGCGAATAATATCGTGTTAGAATAACAACAAAAAATAAAGATATTTTAGGACCTTCTCAATTGTTCTACTAATATAAAAAAGATTAACTTTTCTTTAAAGGGATCCGGTCACTTTGTCTCAGATTCTGAAACAAGAACCTATAGATTTAGCTCATGCTGTAATGATAATTATAAATCTTTTTGTCAATCAGGAACCCCATGACTTTTACAAGCCGATCGCCCGTTTGATTATGAAGATATTTATAATTGGAAATCGATACAAAATTTTGCGTTTTCCTAACGGTTTTCATAACATTACAGTCTATTGGGGAAACGCAGGGGCGGATCGACGTAGCGATTATTCCGGCCCGCCCCCCCCCCAGCCCCCCAAAACGATAAAAAAAAATAGGATAATAACGTAAAGTTAACCTTTATAAAAACAAAAACAAAAGCGCCCCCTTCTCTCACGAATAAGGAGAAAAAAACAAAAATAGTGGTCTCACCCCCCCCCCCCCCACCCCCCGATTATTCACCGGCTGACTAAGTCGGAACTAATATTTTCTTCCCGCCGGCTGGATCCGCCACTGGGAAAACGAGTATGGTAAAAAAAAAAAAAAAGTCACTCATAGATTTTCCAACTACTTCTTTGCGTCTATTTCATGGAGCAGTATTCCCTTGCTGTCTATTAGAGCCCCATTCTTATGAACGCAAGGTTTACCCTGCATTGGGTCTGATTGATTGTTGTGAGAATCGCTGCTACTTGGTGAAAATGAAGTGATGAGAAGATCCCTAAATGGCGCCAATTTGGTCTTCCAGAGGCCACCCACTCGTTTGTTACAACACAGCACGATTGGTAGGATGAAGGCCGAGAGTTGGTTCAGAAGCTGAGCGATGATGGCTAGACTAGTGATGGGTTTGAACAGGAAAGCCACGTAGATGATCCAAGACGGAAGCCAGAAGACACCAAATATTCCCGCTATCTTTATGTGTTCATAAAACATAAAAGGTGTAAAATAGAAATAAATGTAAACGGCAGTGGTTTGTGGTGGCATGAATGATAGCGCCAGCTATCGACGCATCGTATGGAATAATAATAATGACAGTTATTGTAATTAACCGAACATCGATACCGGAATATAATGTAGTAAAGAACTCAAGTCGTGCATGCCTGAGCATGTAAATAAGTCCTAGCCTTCTACTGATGTCAAGAGAGATCTAATGTTCAACTCGTTATTAAGCATTCTTTGTTTAAAGGGACACCCAACCTTGATTCAAAAGTAGTCTTAAGGAAAACAGAAAATTAGAGAAGAAGACTGGTGAAGATTGAATTAAATTGAACAGAAATTAAGAAAATTATGATTTTTTTTCAAAAGAATGGGCTCTTAAAGATAAAGTTGAGTTCTGGTCATGTGATTGCATAGTGAAAGAAACGGTGTGGAACCTATCAGAAAAGGTTGATCATCTAGTATATAAGTATTCGTGTGTATTGCAAGGTTCTGGAATCATCAAAATCATAAGAAATTTGGCCAAATCTTGGCAAAGTTACAAGCACTGTACACAGAATGATGTATATGGGACTACACGAGCACATGGCGAAAAAAAACCTACCCCCCGATTTTCACGATGTTTCATGTCATATTTAGAATATGTAGGCATTTGAAGAGGCATGCTTTTCAGGGAACATGTTTAATCTTAATTTCTTCCACCCTTGCATAATTACAATGATAACGCTCACAAATTATTTTTTACCTCTTCCCAGAACTCAACCTTCTCTTTAAATTTGGCTGAACCGGTAATTTATCTGTGATGTACTAGCGGACAAAGTTTCCATTTGTTCCAACGCATAAAGTGACTAAAGTGACATAAAGTGATAAAGTGAAATTGTTAACATTTTAAAACGGATGACTCAGGAGAGTAATTATTTTCATTTTAGAGGACATATAGCTGGCACTATTATCTTCTGCAGTGGCAGTACAGGCCACCGTCAGGTATATTGTCGTACTGTTATTATTCCAATACTTGGTGTATTGTTTTTCTTTCATCGTTGTTTAATAATAATCATGAAACTTAGCTTTTTTTCCCTTTTTTTTTAAAGAGCACCACTCCGGAGTATTCCCTTAACATCGAAATATGATATCTAAAAGTGTACTTTAAGGGCCATCTATGCCACTACAGAATTACGGGGACTCTTTTGACACTATCTGCGATATCCGAAAAGCATACGACTGTTTTTTTGTAGGCCTAGTCCACGAAATTAATCAGAACAAAGAATGGTGTAGAGACAAGGCGGATTTGTTTTCCCTAAGGGAATATGAATCTGTCGTGGCAAATATCATCTTTAAAATTACCCAAACGACAGTGCTGAGATTATACCATACCTTTATTGTTATCTGACGGTCATTCCTCCAATCTGACTTTCCTCTCGAGTTAAGTGATGCTAACTCTTGTCGTGTGGCTCTCAATCTGTAAAGCACCAAAACAAACAAGAAACAGTCCACGAGGAAGGGTACTGCAGTTTGTACCGCTAAAAGATAATTAGGCCATCCATCTACAATCCAGCAGTATTCGTCGATGTCATAGATCTTGATGCCTCCAATGTGCAGAAAGACGGCTAGGAGAGAAAACAGCAATGGTACGCACCATCCAAAGAGAGAGAGGAGAAGGAATAAGCGGCTTTCAGAATCTTCATCGACGCGATGAATACCTTTCCTGCCAAGTGTCCACGCCAGGAAAATAGCAACAGCCGTCCACCAGTAGTTTGGTACAAGTACAAAGTAGTAAATGAGAGTAGCTAAGAAAACACAGAGTTGAGGATTATCAGTTTCAAGTGGGATGTACCCTGATGTGTAAAAGAGAGACAGCAACCCTGCAACTACAAGGCTCAGGACATTCTTACCATGGGTGTTACGGAGCTCTTTGAACATGACAAACGTGAGCAGGCAGCAGAGAAGTGCAGCTAAAGAAACACCGTTGAGGACTCGAAGACACATCTGCAACCACTCTGGAATCTTGTCCCACGTCTGATCGCCATACAAGAGGATAATTGGTGGTCCAAAAAATACCGTTGGGCAGTATAAGATGAACGACAAGGTGTCGATACGGACTGGATCGTCAAAATCATCATTAGCGATAAAAGCAAAGGGAGGTAAAAAATCAGTGACTATTGTTCTTTTTATACTACAGTTACCATCTTCCTCCTGCTCCCATTCCAGTGCCAACCAATCGCTAGAAGAAGGGCACGAGTTATCCATCCTGTTATTAGCATCTGCATAAATGCAGTAAAAACTGTATAGAATTGACCCACGTCCAAAGAGGTCAAATCTAAACAATTGATGTAAAGCATGATTCGACTCACACTCCAGCATCTTATATTGACAGTCCTCTGCAAAGTATTCAACATATGCAATGTAATTGTTGTTATCTGTGCACTGTTTATCAAAATCTTTTCGAAAATTTTGCATGGATACAGAAATAATGGAATAGCTTAGATTTGAAGTCTGATCCCCGTAGTAAAATGTATTATTTCCTAGGCAAACGGGAACTGTTTCAAACTCGTCAAAATATCCTGTAAAGGAGATCGTTACTTGGCCATCATAGCCATAGTCAGCCATCCCTTTCTGCCAAAGCCTTACGTTGTCAACATCTCCAGATAGGACGCTTTCTAAAGAAGTGCCAATATTTTGAACAAAGTTATCTGTGACAGAATGATTGGATTCTTCAGTCATTACTTCTGCTATCCCTGTGAACATCTGAACAGACGATGCAAACCAAGCTGCTTGGAGAATCACCAGGTAAAGAAGGACAAAGTAGCCTGGAATCTTACCCATGTTGCGTTTGTTGCTTCTAACTCGTATCAAAGTTTGTCTCATGAAGTGTGAGCTAGGTGTTGACGGTAGTGTATTCTTTTTGCAGCCTGTTCATATCCTTATAAGAGAGAATTTTCTGTCCTAACCTTCCATACGTGACATGGTTAATGCAAGCAGAGAATTTGGTGTAAAGTCGATGCAATTGTATAGCTATTCAAGTTGAAATTAATCCTGACATTTTTTACTGGTAGTCGTTGAAGTATCACAATAAATGTCCTTGATATCAAGTTTAAATCTTTTTAGCTCTCAGGTTTTATCACAAATATGGATTGTGATGAAAGTTGAACAGATTAATCACGGAAGGAGACTGTGCTGATCATCATATCATTCAGTGAAGAATAGTAGAACCAGATCCTGTGAAATGAATAGTATGGAAAAAGAGAAATTTTGAAATGCGGCACACAAATCTGTCTTTTAGCCCAATCATAGCAACGAGAACGACACCAGGGTCCATTTCAACGAAACATTCCTAGGCCTAGATGTCAATTACATGTATTTACATTGTCCTATGTTATTAGTTGACAACTTATAGCTTTTACCCCCGTCACATACACGAATTTTTGTTAAAGTCCTTACGGATCGCCAACTCGTAGTCAATTGCAAGCATTCGTAAATAACTCGCTGATATCCGTAAATAACTCGTCACAACTCGAAACAACTCGCAACAACTCGTAGACACTCTTAAGGATTCGTGATAGGAGAGGCATTTAAAAAAAAAACCTTTAAAAAAAAATCTTCTTACGATTGTCCACCGATTGATTTTCCCGTAAATAGCTCGTAAATAGCTCGTAACGATCCGTAAGTTTCGTAAACCGCTCACCACTACACGTAACCATCCGTAAACTGCTCGCAAGAATCCGTAAATGGCTCGTAACTAATTTTTGTAAACGATTTGTTGCAGTTAGTTTACAATTTGTTTACGGATTATTACGAGTGCTTACGTGTTGTTTAAGATTTCATTTGGGTCGTGTTACGATGGCTTTACGGATTGTTACGGGTTATTACGACCACTTTAGATATATATACGTATACTTACGTATTCTTACGAACTGTTTACGATTTGGGTAAGGTATAAAATCCGCAGATTCGAACACTTCATTTTCAGTTGTTATTTTTTGGGCTGAAAATCGTAAGGACTCGTAAATACTCGTAACTAACTCATAACTATTCGTAACAACACGTAAACAGGTCGTAACTAATATGTTAGTTGCTCATAGTTATCCGTGACAACTCGTAACAGATCGTGGATTTTTGCCGTAAATACATCGTAATGACTCGTAATAATCCGTAATACACCGTAACTCGTAACAACTTTTAAATTAATCATGAAAGTGGCCAAATCGCAAGGATCCGTGAAAGACCCGTGAATTTGTGCGATCCGTAAGGACGTGTAGGGGCTATTAGTAAAGTTTCATGAATATTGGCCCAGACCGGCAAACGAATGTATTGCATTACCTCGAATGGGGTCGGTTTTGTAGTACATAAAACACGATTGCAACTCATTCCTAAAAATCAAATTAAGTCAATTGCAATAGCCTTGTACGTCATCTTTTGAAATTTGCATCCATGACAACGAGGTTTTAAGCAATCCGAACACAATTTTTATGTAGTGTTCAACAGGGTATTGAAATTTCTCTTTATTTTTTTTTTCTCATTATAGTTGCGATCGTGTTATAAGGTACCTTGCCATTTTCAAAGAAATAAATTTCAAGCAGATGGTGTTGGGATGATTAAAAGACCAGACATATTAAGTAAAGTACATGTTTAAATTTGATAAGTATATGTCTAACTATCTGTTTAATAATGGCAATGATAACAATGATAATATGTTTCATTTACACAGGGTATCCTCATCAGTATTATAACTGTTCTCCCTGAGGGCCCGGCAATCATACTATTACCCCGGCCTTAGCCGAGCTACCATGAAATAACGCTCGAGTATAAAAGGAATTTCTTCCTACCGGGAGAATTTCTTAAAATATACGTCAAATGTTGCGTTTAAAAGCTTTAGCAAGTTATCCATTTACACCGAAACAATGCCTCTGGCCTAAACATCTCACTACTCACAGGGGCGTCAATCCTTTTTTTTTTAATGTGGGGGGGGGGGGACACAATGGAGTAACATATGGGAGTGTCTGAGGAGGGATATGGCCCTCTCAGAAGTTGAAAGAAAATTGAATTTTCAAACTCATTAAGATAAAGACCAGTTATGGTCATGCGATTGCATTGTGAAAGAAACGTTGTGGAATCGATCAAAAAAAGGTTGATCATCTAGCATATAAGTATTGGTGTGTACTGCAAGGTTCTGGAATCACCAAAATTATAAGAAATTTGGCCCAGTCTTGATAAAGTTACAAGCACGGTACACAGAAAGATGTATATAGGACTACCCCATACGTGCGCGACCCTTCGTTATATCTATCAGGTCCAAATAGATATAATAATTTACCAAATATATGAATTAGTAGGCGGTTTCTCAAGAAAATTTGTATGATCACGTATTAGTGAAAACACATTCTTTCACACGATTGGTAAAAAGAGCTTTCATTTCATTTTTTGAGAGGCCGTTTCCAAAACTAGTCTTTACCTTTAATTTCCAGCCATTTTTGACTGAAAACCATCGTTTAGATTCCAATGTATTTTTTTCTCCTGAAAGGGGGATATCTTATGAGATGATGATGTGGATCCTAATCAAATGATCGGTTGAAAGCGTACACGTGACCAGGAATTTATTTTGCCTAAAGCGTAATTTGGATAATGACCGGTCATTATCAAAATATGTTATAAAATATATTTTTTTATGAAACAAATAAAACATAGTGTTATAAAAAAATTATTACACATCATTTTGTTCGGGTATTTGCAAAATTACCCACACTCTGTACCTTCAAAACAGTCCAAACACCCTCGGATATCGCCTCGGGCGTGTTAGACTGTTCCAAGGGTACCTCGTGTGGGTATTGTTACTAATGCCCTCACTGATGTGTATTATTTGTATATTACTATTGGAAAGACTCGGAGACACATTTGCTATCTTAAGCTTTAATATTGTAATTATTATGTGAAATGATTCCATGGATTATCTTGATTACAACAGTTAAGTTTAAAGTTAGTTACTAAATGTACCTGTCTTTTTATTCATTATCGCTAACATAACGTTTTGATACACTGTTTAGGTATATTTAAAGATATTTTTTTCAACACTTTTGTCAAATATTGAGTGTCTATCCATTGTGACATTGTCTAACACAAAACAAAAAAAAGGAAACATGTAAGTCATGGTTATAATTTGTAAAAATGAAACTGTATACAAAATTATATAAACTACAAATAAAATGGATGTAAGTGAGTAATAATTAACCATCACTATGAACATGGCGGACAAAGAAAGAGGACAAAATATACAGTTCCTCATTTTACCCTCAACAATGGCTGTGGTAAATAAAGGAACATCCTTTCACTGCTATTATGTAAAAATGTGTAGAACAGGTGTCACATGCATATTCACCTGTTCTACACATATTTACATAATAGCAGTAAAGGGATGTTCCTTTGTCTATATACCACAGCAATTGTTGAGGGTAGAATGAGGGACTGTATATTTTCTCCTCTTTCTTTGTCCGTCATATTCATAGTGCATCTGGATATTGATATTATGATAACCATGAAAATCTCAGAAAAATATACAAGGTAACAGTTCATTTACCATCCCGGTTTTTTAGTATGGTTACATTCCATTTATCATTAATGTCTACAAAACGCTCAGTCCACTTCATATTGACGATAAACATCTTCAGTTTTAATACACATTTTCACTTGAAATAGAGAAATTGAATATGACATATCTCCTGATGAGTTTATCCAAAATTTCAGTAAGTCGAAATGTTACAACTCGGCGATAATAATGTTTTATACTTGGAATCTCGGAGTTTGTGGTATCAATTTTCAACCAGAGTGGCTAGAAAACTATGGTTTAACAGCTAGCTGAGCACCTTTATGTAGCAATCTCAAAACATTCGATCAGGTATAAACTCGGAAGTTGAGGGCTTTACGATTCGAGTTCGAGAATATAGTTAGTCATGTTTGCTAGCAATCATTACCATAACCCCTGATTAAATCACGTTTTGAACAAACTTAATTCAAACTGAAAGTGTGTTAGGGAAACGATGGAATACGCCCTAAATAGGCAAGAAACTCAATGATAACATTTCTTTTATAAATACGACATTAAAACGATAAAATGTTTGCCTGAAACTTTATGTATTATAATTTAAAGTAGGTCCATTTGGTATTAATACAAATAAATTGACTGCTATGAGAGGCATCGCTGTTTCTATAGGCTCAAGGGGACATTACATTGAGATATGACCCAAATGCGCCCGAGAGCCAGTATAGATACAGCTACGCTTAGATAAATATTATATATACCGAATTAGCAAACACATCTACAAGGAATTCCTACCGTATCCTCTTCTTGAGTAAAGACTGGTTAAAACATCACAGAAAATCTGAGACACTGTCTGTAAATCTTCGCTAGAAAGTTGCCTGAATGTTACGATTATTTGGGAATCGCAGACAAAAAGCACTGTATGGTATCCGCGCTCCTACAAAGAAACTTTTTAGACGTAAACCAATGGGGATCTCAGCAAAATTTATTCATGCGGCCCGTACGTTAGCCGGGCCAACGGGCATCTTTAAAAAATATATATTGTCCGGTAGGCGAGCATGGCTAAGATCACGACTCCGATTTCGACCAATCAGAAGGCTAGATTTCTAAAGAGAGGTATATAATTTCTTTTACTAATTCTTTATATCACGAAGCTGTATGTCATTGCCGTCTACTGGAGGCTCGTCGCTGTGATTAAAGGCTTTATCTTTCACTGAATGTGTTTGAGTGTTATGGGAATCAGTGAGACTTGTACTATGTGTTAAGCTGCTGAGATGATCCCTTAATGGCGCGAATTTGGCCTTCCAGAGGGTAGCCACTCGTTTGTTACAACATAATACGATTGGTAGGATGAAGGTCGAGAGTTGGTTCAAAAGCTGAGCGATGATGGCTAGACTAGTGATGGGTCTGAACAGGAAAGCCACGTAGAAGATCCAAGATGGAAGCCAGAGAACACCAAAGATTGCCGCCATCTTGTAAATTAAAGGAGAAAAATTGTACGATATTAATTAAACGCTACTGGGTAGCTCGGAGGGTTATATCTCCCTAAAAATGGAAGTGGATGGTAGGACTATATTTGCTTCAACTGATTTTTGTCTTTCTAATGTGAGTTACCGTTAACAAGTTTGGAAACTTGCTAAAAACAATTCTAATCATCCCAATTCTTCCCTCTTTCTAAAATAAAAATTATTTGATTATTCAAAAGAACTTCCATCCTTTTTACACAAATATTTACGTTTTTATAGCTCACTAAACAATCTTTATGCAATTGTAATTAAATTATGTGTGAGCATTCGAAGACGACAGGAGGAAGATAAGAACTCTTGAACACTTAGATTCTGATCATCAATAATATTGTAGGATAATTTTATTAGCGGTCAGCACCGTGTTGGCTAGCCTATCCGATATGCGTCGGGTATACTTGTAAAGCCCGACGCATATCGGATAGGCTACATGTTGGCCAGCATAGATATTAGATGATTGCACTGGTATGATTTTTTTTAATTGATCTCTTAGGAACTGAAGAGCTATGACATTTCATGTTACTATAAAAAATTGATTTTACCTTTATCGTTAATTGACGTTCATTCCTTCGTCTATTATTTCCACCCGAGTCCATCGATGCCACATCGAGTCGTGTTGCCCTTAATCTGTAAACCACCAGGACAAACAGGACACAGTCGACAAGGAACGGAATGAAACTTTGTGTGGTGATAAGATAGGTCGGCCAGCCATCGATAATCCAGCAGTATTCGTCGATGTCATAGATTTTGATGCCTCCAATGTGCAGAAAGACGGCAAGAAGAGAGAATATTAGAGGAAGACCCCACCCAAAGAGGGAAAGGAGAAGAAAGAAGCGGCTTCCAGAAACGTCATCCATGCGATGAATACCTTTCCTGCCAAGTGTCCACGCCAGGAAAATGGCAACAGCCGTCCACCAGTAGTTTGGTACAAGTACAAAGTAGTAGATGAGAGTAGCTATGAAAACACAGAGTTGAGGATTATCAGTTTCAAGTGGGATGTACCCTGATGTGTAACAGAGAGACAGCAACCCTGCAACTACCAGGCTCATGACATTCTTACCATAGGTGTTACGGAGTTCTTTGAACATGACGAATGTGAACAGGCAGAAGAGAAGTGCAGCCAAAGAAACGCCGTTGAGAATTTGAAGACACACCTTCAACCAATCTGGAAGTTTGTCCCACGTCTGATCGCCACGTAGAGGAATAATGGGCGGTGCAGCAATGGTCGTTAGGCAGTTAAGCGAATATGGCAAAGTATAAACAGGGGCGATTTCTTCAATGCCTGTATCATCAATGAATAGTAATTCTGGTTTAAACGCACCAAATATATCCTCATCGATTGTGCAAATTGAATCATTCTGCTGTTCCCATCGGAGTCTCAACCAATCACCGGCATCGGTACACAACCCAGTTTCAGACTCCTCATCAGGATTGACAGAAATGCAGAAGAAGCTATATAAAACTGACCAAGAATCATGAATCTCATATCTATACAGCCGTTTTAAATCAAGATTTACTTCACAATCCAGCGTCCTGAATTGACAGTCCTCTTCAAAGTATCCAACATACGCAACGTTCTTTTCATTATCGGTGCATTCTTTTTCAAAATCATTTGGAAAGTTCTGCATTGATACAGAAGCAATGGAATAGCTTAGATTTGCAACCCCATTTTCGTAATAAAACGTATTGTTTCGTAGACAAACTGGTTCAAAGTCGTCAAAAAGTCCTCGAAAGGAAATCATAATTCGGTCAGCTTCAGTACTTCTATTTTGAGGAACTACTACATTATCAACATCTCCTGACACCATGCTTTCCAAAGAAGTTTCCAGGTTAAGAAAGAAGTCGTCCGAAAGCGAAAAATTGGACGATTCGATGACCAATTCTGCAATTCCATTGAATGTTTGATCCGAAGCTGTCAACCTGACAGCTAGAAAAATCACAAGCTGGAGAAAAGCGATAGAGGCAACATATTTCCTATCCATGTTGTATTTGTCGCGAGCGAACAATTTGTATTTGCAAAAATAGTTGAAAAGTAAGATACATGAGGTTTTCAGGAAGCAATATACATCCCATCCATGTTGTATTCCTTGCACGGGTTTCTATGATTCGAGCTGAGTCGTGATCTTATCTTTGACGTCATGAAAATGTCTTTGTACTCCTAAATCATCATATTTAATGTCTCGTACGGCGTGCATAGTCAGTCTGGCAGTTTCTTGTCAAGTACACCAACAGGGTGTTATCTGTGTGCAGTCTGATGAATGACTGTTGGAAGAAACCATTCATTCTATACGATGCATGATCCTGTGGAAAGAACACATAAAAAGAGGTTTAAAGAGTGACAATGGAAGTTTTCATCTAATACGTCAGTCACACAGCCAAACCGACTTCACACCCGTCCGACCGATTCTTAGCCATTCAGGGTAAAGTAATTTTTGCACGGTAGACACAAGGTCGGTGACTTAAACGTCTCCATTTACAACCAACAATCTTGAATAACGAGTAAAAGGGGGAGGGGGCGGTGCTCCTAAAATAACAGTGCCCTTCGATTGTGGCCCCGGAACCAAAAAGGCACCTGACAATGTCTACATGTAGAATTTTCTTCGTGTATTTGAAAGTCACACTTCCACATAACCCATCTACCAACTTAGGTTTTCACTTTTCAAAGTGATTATAGGTATGTTTATCATGGAGTTTGTCGCTATTAAAATGACTGAACCCTTCAATTGCCGGCCACAATGACGAGAAGACAACACAAATTGTAATTAAGGGATTACATAGCCACTCGCTTGCAACCCACTACTAAAAAAAAGTCGATAAGAGTTTCGAAAAGGAAAAAGCAGTTTCCGTGAATCAATTGTAATTTTTCGGAATGAAAGACTTCAGTGGCCGTGTGTTTAGAAATTGCGAAACACCTGCTGATATCAAAATTTCGAACAAAGATTGACAATCCAATGAATCTGTGAAATGTGATATAATTTAATCATGTTATTAGAAACAATTATGAAATTTCATATAAACAGCCAAACTCATCGAAAAGATCAAAAACTCTAATTGACCTTGAAACTATATATTCTGTTTGCTGTTTCTGTTATCATTCTGTTTGTAAAACTGTGTAAGTCTATGTATTTCTTCTGAAACAAAAATCCTTAAACAAAATAAAAGATTGTCCCTAATCGCAATCACAATGATCAATGGGCAAGCATATACAGCTAGTATATATATATATATATATATATATATATATATATGTATATATAGTGCATTTGCAGGTAGTTAATGACCTCGAGTCTACTGTATTTGACCAATAGTACGTTACGATATATGCACTGTTGAACACTTGATTTCGTCTTAAAATTTCATGTCACGTAGTTCAATATAATCCAAACGCAGGGATATCTACATGAATAGCACTACTGATATATCCCCCGATAAAACGTAATATTCCTTAGTATATAGCCTGTCCTTAAGTGAATTCCAAAAGATCCTCTTAACATGTAACACCTAGATTTGTAATACTTTAAAGTGAAAATAACATCACGTTCCTACTTGGAAAATAATAATAGGCCTACACGACAGCATACCAATAATATATTGGTTGTTTTAAAACTAATTGTCAGAACTGACACTGCGTTGGATGTTACATGGTCTTTTTCTTCTTCGTGTTCTGTTTTATCCACTCCAGCAAAGCATAGAGTAAATGATAATGCGTATTGACCTTTAGCGCTGTATACTTGCTGAGAGGCAGCAATTACACACAATACACACACTGCACACAATTGTACTCTAATGCACACAATAAATATGATGTGGCTGATCGGCAAGTTCGACAGTCAGCTCACGATATGAATTTTCCAAATATTCTTTCTAACATCGGTAAGTTGAAAAGATTGTATTTTACTGTTATTTAGGTGTCATCAATTGTCACTAAAGTACCGATTTTGAGTGAACTCAGTTGAGTTATGTACAGTGGTGTTTGAAATGTTCAGAATCAACAGAACAGTTTTTAATACACAGCCAGGATAGTAATGCAGCTATGTGGGGTTTTATCCTGGCCTTTATTAGACAATAATACCTTCACTTACGCTTCGTGAGACTTTTAGTCACCCGAAAAACACTAAAATCATAAAGAACGGCTGTAATTGCATGTCTTAATAGGTATAATAATGAAGCCTTTCTCACCTGCAAGATAGCAGAATCACAGTAATAGATGACCTGAGCTGCTTGTTGTAGGGCATCTGAAATCCTTCGAGATGTACATGTAGACCGTGATCGTCTTAGGGTCAGTATAGTATGTGCAGTGCAGTGTTCTTTATATTGTTATTCTCTCAACTGTACACGATTATACACAATTTGATACCTGTATAAACCCGTCTGCTCTGTCCCTGCAAGAAGTCACATTACTTTAATGCAACTAAAAGGCTATTGTATTACTTCACGAATGAATGATCCCGCGTACAGCAGGAATAAAGATTTGTGTTAACCATTTACAGACTCAGAAGCCAGCAGTTCTTTTAGACCGAATAAAAGAATGTGGTTTGGTTATTTTTGGTGTTGTTCTTCACGCGCTTACGTTGCAACGAATACCAGAATACCCTAAATACCAGTAACAAGAACCAACGCGTTTGTTCTTGTTACTGGTATTCAGGGTACCAGGTAGGGCTTGCTATATTGTAAGTAGTGTCATTCCCAGCCTTAGTCACGCCTTAAAGGTACTATGTCCCATGTGCAGGCCAAAAAAATGAAAAGGTTAAATTCCAACGGCATTTGAAAGACCGTATACTAATTTAGAACTTCCCTCAAAACGAAAAGGCTTGAAAATGGCTTTTAGTGGCAACATGACGACCGTTAGTTATCGCATCTACTTTTAATAGTGATTGCAATGAAAGTCTGAATTCCAGACCCTTTTACCGAATGTGTGTACGTTTTGTGCTGCACTTAAAGATTCTCTCAGTTTATTTTTGGCCATTATGAGTAGTGGGTAATTGATTTAGGCAATACTTTCATGTACCTGTTTCATTTTATGTATGTTATTACCAAAGAAAAAAGATGACAGTCACTCAATAGTGTCTGGCAGTGAAATCTAGAAGGTAAACGGGTTTCCTTGCATAATTTGAATATTAGGACACTGATAATGTTTAAATTTCATAGATAGGACATAGACCTACATGAAATATTCATAATTCCTGCAAAGTTCTACAGAATTTGATATTAGCTGCAAAAGGGACATATAGCAAACTACTTTAGAAGAAATCAAACAAAATAGAGAAGCTTACTGGTGAAAGCTTGAATGAATTCAGACAAAAATTAGAAAGTTATGATTTTGGGGTTAAAACTTGCAATCGCTATATTATGTAAGGCCTCTTTAAATTGGCTGAACCGGTAATGTCTCTGTGATGTAGTGGTGGACAACTTTTTCATCCGTTCCAACGCACAAAATGACTGAAATTTAAAGTTAAAAAAAAAATGTATGACTCGGGATGGTAAAAATATATTATCCGTAATTTATTTTGAGTAGTGCCCCAAGGGTGAAGGCACAGCAATTAGTGATATTTTGTACACGACGAACCCAAACGGGAGAGATATCAGTCACTATGTCACAATCCACTGACAATATTGTCAATTTGAGATTCGCATAGCTGTAGTGATTTCATATTTCAAACATACGTAATTTTCTTATTGTGGGACAGATTTATTTCAAACTTTCGCCATTCTGTTTCTCTGTCTGACATACATGGGCGCTATACAAGAACCCACTATCATCATTATTATTGTTATTCTGCTTTTATTCAAATTAATTTATTACAAAGGTTGGATTACCTACTCCGACCCGAGTCTTAATTGGCTAGTTATGTGTAATGTGAAAGGCTACTATTTTAGGAGTCACAATAGGGATCACTTGCATCACCTCCAAATATTATAGTCGATTCCAATCCAAATGTATTAGTCTGACTTACTATTTGAGAGGAAATTCGCTACTTTGAGCATGGATTTCTACTCCTAAACGAAGTGATCCATCTTAATTATTACTCATTAGACGGTGGATTACTGTACAGTTAGAAAGTAAAGTTTGTTCGGTCTCTTCTCAGTCTCATTGATGAGACTAGGCATCAATATCAAATTCGGTGCAAGGTGAAAGTTCAACATCGGGATATTGGATTGTTGATTCAATTTTTATTCAGCAACTAAACGGGATGTTTGATGATAAACATGAGGAGGTTCTACGGCGCTTGCTCGGGCGACAACTTCTCCATGGCAAATTATTTATACTAACTGAATAAGTAACTCAACCATGGGTGTCGATCCCGGGGGGGGGGGGATATATCCCCCCCCCCCATATATTTCAGGTGGGGGATGGCCTGTACAATCATCCCCCCCAATAATTCACCATAATTATGTTTTTTTTAATGAAGAGAAAAAGTAAAGATGAGAGCCCGATGAGAGTAGTTAATGTTAATTACTCGCACGATGACCATCAATATACGCATTTTGCTATCTCATTTTCATAATACATACATATATACGAAGTAAATGAGACAACCGTATATGAGACAAGAATAAATTGAATTTTCGCTCATACGGCTTAATCAGGAATTGATGAATTTATTCAATTTGTTCAATTAACAGCATCATATAAATGCAGTGCGCCAAATGCAAAGACGTAGCGTCAAAAAGCAACGAGCTAAATGTTAAGCGCGAAGCGCAAAAGTAGCAATCTGCAATGCACATCGGACAATCCTGGACAGTGTTAACATAAATGAACTCTGTGACGGATTCGTGATGAGATCGGAGACAAGATTTTCGGACATAAGTATGACTTATAAGATAGTTCACTAGTTGTTATGTTGTCTCCGTTCACCATTTTTAAAATTCACGTCATTGTATCTTTATTTTTTATTTTTTCACTCATTTTATTTCCTGATGTTTCCTAAAACATTTTTCATTTTTGGAGAAAGATTATTATGTCACAACTGAATTCAAACAAGGATTAATATAGAGAACAGTACAGCGAATCGTCTTCTTTCTCTAATAATTAAGTGAAACGGCAAGGCTTCCGCGTTTTGCGCGGGAGGGGGCAACTAAATTCAGACTAGGGTTAAGAGTTATTTAAATGAAACGTCAAAGTACACGATACAATGAATCGTCTTCTTTTTCTAATAATTTAATGAAACGTGAAAGCTTCCGGGCTACGCGGGATGGGCGAAATTGATTTCAGACGTGGATTAAGAGTAATAATCAATGAAACGTCAAAGCTTCCGCGCTCCGCGCGGGGGGGGGAAACTGAATTCAGACAAGGACACGATACATGTAACAAATCGTATTCCTTCTCTAATAATTTAATGAAACGTGAAAGCTTTCGCGCTTAGCGCGGGATGGGCGAAAATGAATTCAGACAAGGATTAAGAGTAATAATTTATTGAATCGTCAAAGCTTCGCGCGGAAAGGTGTGGGGGGGGGGGACTGAATTCAGACAAATATTAAGAGTCGAGAATGGTACATCGAATCGTCTTCTTTCTTTAATAATCCAAAGAAACGTCAGAGCTTTTGCGCTACGCGCGGAGGAAGGGGAACTTGATTTAAACATTAAGGATTAAGAGTCGAGAATGGTACATCGAGTCGTCTTCTTTCTTTAATAATCTAATGAAACGACAGAGCTTCCGCGCTACGCGCGGAGGAAGGGGAACTCAATTCAAACAAGGATTAAGAGTCGAGAATGGTACATCGAATCGTTTTCTTTCTGTAATAATCTAATGAAACATCAGAGCTTCCGCGCTACGCATGGAGGAAGGGGAACTTGATTCAAACAAGAATTAAGAGTCGAGAACGGTCCATTGAATCGTCTTCTTTCTCTAATAATTTAATGAAATGTCAAAGCTTCCGCGTTCGTGTGGGAGGGGGGAAATTCCTCACTCCTTCACCCAACCCTCTAGGGAGCGCGCTTCGCGAGCACTGTAAGTGATTCGCATGCTTCGCGTGCTCACTACCGCTCCCCCTATAATGAAATCCTGGCTATACGCGCTTGGAGAGGGGTTGCCACATGCTTCTACCCCTTGGTTGCTTTGATCCATTGCCGAAAATATTTTGGCACCTATCATCCCCCCAACTACGGATACAAATCGACACCCTTGACTTCAACCCTGCACCAAACACTATACCTAGCACTAACTCTAACTCTAGACCTAGCTTAATACCCAATGACAGCCTTAAACCTAAACCTATAATATTTGACAAAGAGCGAATGTCGGGTCGCCATTGACGAATACGAAAAGAGTGGACACGAGTAGAGGGAAATTTTAACGAAACTATACATGTTTTGGTCGATTAAGGGAGTATAATATTGCGGGGGTAAGACTACCACACAGCCTAATTGCGATATCATTTCCATTGATATAATTCGTATAAGCTTAAGATTCTAAACAGCATGATAAACATTATTATGGTTTGGGAAAGTATAATGTATATCTAGGTATAGAAACGTTTTCATTTACTGCATATGCTGTGAATTAGAGTCAACTTGATAATCATTTGATGTCAAATTAAGTCAGTTGAGTAGTGTCAGCAAAGTAGTATAACGTACTGTTGAAATGAATGTACCTCTTTGTGTTCCCCAGTCAGTATGATAAGCAAAAGAATGGAAGTTCAATATTTCAATACAATAATTACTCCGCCATGACATGGTTCTTGAATCGTCTACGTGAGTTTCTCGTAGTTATTTCCCTTAGATTTGTTAAAGAATAGAAATCGGTTAGCAACTATTGGAACAATGTAATTCGGTACTTGTTTACTCACCGCTATTTGAACAATCCTTATAATAGAGAGACTCCACAGCAGGAGAAATGACCCATACTACAGGAAGGCAGGAAATGGTAGCAGAACTTGCTGAATCCGATCAAATAGGTCATTTGGTTATGAATGTTAGCTATAGCTATATGTGTGGGTGTATTTGGATTATCGTGTGGCTGCCTCGATGTTCTATAGACTAGTATTTTTAGCATTATTCCAAAATACTTTCATCATGCTCTGCTGGACTATCCCAACGTGATCCTCTATTTGATTTGGTGGTTGTTGTTTTTTCCCTGTCTCTTATCATCTCCTATCGCCTCATTTTTGATCTTTTTTAACTCTCTCTCTCTCTCTCTCCCCACCATTTAATATATATCCCCTACTCTTAATACGTGTGAATCTCTCTCTCTCTCTCTCTCTTTTCCTCTCTCGTATTATCTATATATCCCCTAATTCTGTATTTATCTAGTTCTTTATTTCTCTCTCTCTCTTTCCCTCCTCTCTCTTTCTCTCCCCTCTCCCCTCCTCTCTCCCTCTCTCTCACCCGAGACGGATCCTCAATGCGAATGATTTGTGCTTGTGTGTGTACACGGTTTTGTATGTGCATGAGTACTCTTCCTGTTTGAACTTTTAGCCTAAAAACCCACCGAGAAACATTTATTTCGTTCTTAGTGCTATCATTTTAATTGATATGTTACTATACATGCGACACAATAACAAATACTAAAAATTTAAAAATCCAAAATAAATCACTATTCTTTATAGGGTTCTATGATTTATTTCAATTACACGCAATTCCATTCAATCAAGTAGGGACAAACATATTAAAATACGATGAAATACAGCATAGTTACCGTTGGTAGGAAACTGGAGAAGCTTGAGAACAATCTAAACAATCTAAACACGATAAAGATGCGGGTAATATACCTTTACATTACCATATGAATTACTACGACGGTTGTATTTCTTTAAAACTTGATTTTATTAGCGCAAATATTCTCTAGTTACCATCTGAACTGCGATGAAAACGATGAATGTATAGTAATATATCAATATTGCTACTATTTTTACCAATTGAAGATCACGTAGATATTTATTCAAGGTTTATTGAAATGCTAATGTACTCTATCCGTTTAATTTTTGTTATGCTATAGCAACTGTCTTGATGTCTTAATTGGTGATATGAGACCATGTAATGGCAGTGATATATTGATTTTTGAAGGAATGAATAACGGATGCATGAATGTTCATTGAACGAAAGAATGAATGAACGAATGAAAAGCAAGGGATGACAGATCAATAGAGACGAAATTTATATTCAAATACATTATCAGAGTTCTCACCAATTTTTTTACCGTCTTATGTGCTTTGCAACCACGTCGGTAATCCTTATATATCAAATGTGTAACCTTGTAAAAATTAATACAATTTATGTAGGGTATTCAATTCTTCTATTGTTTCATCGGAAGAAGGTTAGCTTTGTATAATGATGAGGTGCATTATCAATACTACGAATGGATTGAAGAAAAAAGTAAGAATTTAATACGAAGGTATGGTCAGTTACGTGATAAAAATATCAAATTCCTATCACGATGTATTTATTGATTTCCTTTTTCACTCCCATAGTTAAAATGGAAGCGATGATATTATAACAGTGGAGCCAATGTGGACGAAATAAAGTCTTTTATAAGAATTTGAGTTTCTATTAAATGTACAGTGCGTTAGAACTTATTGGTACAATTTTAATATGTGTAGACCAACAATGTATATCTATTTATTTAGTTTCTCATTGAAATGACATTAGATAAGTTGGATTTGTAAAGCGGAGAAACTCGTCATTAACCGAGCATAAATACACAGAACGTGTTATTCAAATCCCACTCGATATTCCGTCGGATTTGTTTCCCTCATTCAGAAACTAAACAATTTGTTTATTAAATTCATTTATTTACATATAAAGTGTAACTTAAAATGTGAAATTCCTAGTGCGATATAAATTGCCAATGCTAAATGTCTCTATTTCGGATTCTTTAATAATTAAAAATACGTTTGCCTGCTTATTTTGAGGCAATGTGAAAAACCGTGAAAATCAATTATGCAATTATCCGATGAAAATTATTGTGCATGTATCATCACAATTGTAATAATCAGTAAAGTAATTTCTATATCTTATTCCCGGATGAGTTCTCCCGCTCCAGCATCCCGCAGAGCTGCATGAAGACGTGCTCGGCTACCACCAGTTCTCTCCTTCCACAGTCGCAGAACCACCCCGAGGGCTTTCTGGTAGTTTCCGCCTTGCAATGCTAAGATCATGGCCCCTTGATTGCAGAGTAGGCCGAGCGAGTTACAAAGAATGCAGTATTTAGATGATAGGAACGAGCTTGAAAGCTCGTCAAGCTGATCATCAGTAACAAACCTGAGTGAATTTAAGGAAGAGGAAATATCTGTTTGTATATTATTTCCCTTGTTCATTGTCCAATACTCTAAAATAGTCGTATAAGGTCGAGTAGGTATTCAAGGAAAGGACAACAGATTTTACAGTCGCAACTTTTCATTTAGTCTAATAATCATTTAATGATTATTATCATATATGATTAAATGATTATTAGACTATATATAAATATCAACTAGTTGTAGGCCAAACGGCTATAAACAATCTTCTTCGTGAGTGTTTGAGCGCCACTTACGTTCCTTGAACGCTACATTCAATTCGACCTTTATTTGACATGTTCGAGTGGTACAATAGGATCTAATATGATTACTGCAACTCAACCATTGGCCGTCCAAACCACTTTAAAAAATTACAAGAATACTTTATTTTTAATCTTTATGCTTACATTTCTGTGATAGTCATGCTGCAAGATTACGCTGATGATGATGCACCTTCAAGAAGATTTATGAAAAACAATAAGCAGATCGTGTCATCAACTTTTCCACCTGAACAAATAAAATAAAAGATAGAGGTGAAGATATAAAAGAAAGTAGTAGTAGTAGGAGTATTACTTCTAGTAGTAGTAGGAGTAGTAGTAGTAGTAGTAGTAGTAGTAGTAGTAGTAGTAATTGTTGTTCTTGATGTTGTTCTTGCTGTTGTAGATACAGAAGACGATTTGAGTATAAACCTTCTATTAATCGGATAAAAGCGGTACTGTAATATAAATGGTTATTAAAATAAAGAGTAGATGATACATTGATTTTCATGGTTAAAATAGTATTGGCATCTTACCTGAGGTCTGTTGTATCTCTGATACACTATAACATGTGTGCTTTACCTGAGAGCTAGGGGATTGTCCTTTCTACTAGGCTGCTAGTAGTGAAGTGGCTTGGAAGTTCAAAGCAGTGACATTCTTCCTATAGTGGTAATGGTATGCTTCAGTTATCCAGCTATTGTCCTATTGTCACTGGCTGGTATGTATATTATATTGGCATGTATATTACATTGGCATGTGCATTACATTGGTATGCATTGCAGCTGGCATGTATATTATTTTGTTATATATACATAACAATGTCCTCTTTCAATCTTTTCAATGATGTGAGTTTACTGTCAGTGGCATACATGTATATTACCTAGTATGTGTCATATTATTACATGTTCAATGTTGCATCCATTCATTGTTATGATCACTCAACGGCTGTTGTTATGCAGACAAATGTATATACTGCACTATTATTCAATAAAACGCCCTCCTGTGGGGGAACCTAATTGTATCGATTTAGTCAAAACAGATACTATAATTATGAAGAAAAAGATTCCACAGTCATCTACACAATCATTAAACAAAATCAAGAGTCCCTATTTCTCTCTAAACTATTCAGGTCATGATTCCAATAAATCATGATGTCCATCTATGTTATGTCTCTCTCTCTCTCTCTCTCTCTCCTTCTCTCTTTCAGCAGAAATCAGATATGAGAAAGTGGTATTGTAACGGTACTTACATGAATCACAACTCTACAACACTTTTACATTGACACCATCAGGTAGAAGGCTAGACCATTGTGTCAACAGTCGAATCATTACAATACTCATCCCATGCAGTCTATACTTGGGCATGGTTCCAATACAGACAGTTCAGTACAGACACTTCAAGCAATAAATAATCATGATAAAATAATGAATTGTCGATTACAATCGCTTCGTACTTTAAACCCTTTTCAGATTAGCATTGTTGCTCATGTTGTTAACATTAATATCATTTGGTGGGGTGTCCAAAGTTCACGTAAATATTTAAAACAAATTTTGGTATGTAATATTTGGTCCATGATATTTCATATCATACACAAATTTGTTTTGATCAATTACTACCTAATGATCAGCAAAAATTCTTGACTACAAATAGTGCAACTAGAATATTTATCGTCAAAAGGATTCCAGCGATATCGCGATCTCCAAATTCGATGTTGGATTGGCTTGCGTAGCAAGTGAAGAAAAGGTCATAACACCTTAATTCGCGCATGAAAGTTCACAGGTGATTTATCCGAAAGAGCGATCAACCAATGATAAGATGATTACATGAATTGGAAGGTTAAATATCATACAATCAATTGGTATCACTATTTACTAATAATGTTGATGCCATTTACTCTCAAAATCAAGATCTCCAGACCCTAAACGATAAGTTCATATTTTTTTGAACGGACGTTCCTCTTTCAATTGGTAATATCAGATTTTCGAAATCTTGCCGATAATTTTGAGACATGGAACTGTACGTGAAATGAGGTGACACTTTCATACGTGTCAATGTTGGGAGAGTTGGTGAGTGAGCGAGTGAGTCACATAGAGAGAGAGAGAGAGAGAGAGAGAGAGAGAGAGAGAGAGAGAGAGATTGAAAAATGGGAGGGATGATGGAGAGAGAGGGCATTGTAATGTAGGCCTACAAATATTGGCACACAGAAACTACAATAATATGCAATTGCAATATATGAAGACGCTCAGAATTAAAAATATATATAATAATTTACTACAACTTGGTCGACTCTGACAAATATAAATTAACGTCTTGTCAAAATTAGTTGGGTTCGACCTCCTTTTATAGGTCTTTTAATAACTATAAAACTATAAAAACTTATAACTTACACCATTGTATGATTATAGAGGTCACCTCGTCACGTACAAGTCAATACCAATAAGATGAAAAGTGAAAGAGCGCCACCTATACTCACTCCCCCTTCTCTCTCTCTCTCTCTTTCTTTCTTTCTTTCTCTCTCTCTCTCTCTCTCTCTTACATACTCTTATCTCTTTTTCTATATCCCTACGTATGTTTCTCCCTCTCATCTTCTCCATACCAATCTCCCTCTCCCTCGCTACCTATGCTCCCCTCTCTGACACCCCACCCAAACGCCCACACACACACACACACGCACACACACACGGTCACATACACATCCCACTCTGCATACTTTTCTTTCAAGAGAAAGGATATTTCAGTAAGCACTGGCTATGCCACGGCTTCATGTAATTACAATGTTTAATCGTTAACAAAAAGTAGTAGTAGTAGTAGTAGTAGTAGTAGTATTAAGTATTTGGCTTTGTCTGTCTGTCTGTGACTGGGAGGGGAAAAGTTAACTGAATAACTTTGGAATAACTGATTGGGGTTGTTAGGCCGTATGGACCACGTACACCGGGATCTATATATAATACACTTATTACTAATAATGCAGTGGGTTCTTAATGAACAAAGGTGGTGACTCTCCTCTAAATGGGGCTCCCATTCAACGTCCTATCCGAATAAAGAGTGTTCTCCACGATAACGTAGCATGCGTCTAAGAAACAGGGGATAGTGATCTCCCTTGGTTGGATTCCAAGTTCCAACCCACTGTATTTGGCTTGACAGGTAGACGTTTTACCGACTGAGCCAACTCACCTCCTAACTCAAACTATTATTAACCTGAGTGTGTTATATCATGTCTCACTATTATTATATCTTTGACTGATTAATGAAAAGCAATGGATGTACTCAAAGATACAAGTCAAACCAATTGGGATCTACATTGATTGGAAGAAAATCCACTTTTCTCTTTTTCATCCAACATGACTGTTTGTTTAATGAGCCGCATATCGAAGCCATATTATACAGTATTTACATTCATCTGATCTTTCGATACAAAATATCCACCCCTTCCCTTATCATAGTTTGCTTTTAAAGTGAAAGAGCACCCTCTTATTTCCTTCAGATCACCCCCCCCCCCCCCCATTTCTCATTCGGGACTAATAAAGGGACTCCTGGCGAATAAAAGCGCCAGTTACGATTCCTCATCGGTGATAGATGGTTAGCTCCTCGGGATGATCATGCGAAGGAGAGTGTTAGGAGCATCATATATATTTGATGATGTGGCTTCATTGAGATCAACCTGACAAAATGGCCACGGATAAACAAAATGAATGCTCATGTTCCTTCCATATCAGAATCCTCTACTTTGCTTTTTCAATTCTCTGTTTTCTCACAATTTCGATGTTTGTGCTAACATTCTGCTACGTATCGCAATTGCGAGAAACCAGGCTCTGCCTCCCCGAAGCTTCAGGGGAACCCTACGTTCGAGGAACCGCTACCATTTCTCAAAGCGATCGCTCGCACCGTGAGTTTGCTGGAACGGGAGGCCACCCAAATGCTAACACTTTAAATGACAATTTTCATCAAATTTTCGAAGATGGAAATGATTTGGAAGCTGAGAAAGGCAGAAAGCATGGTGCGGAAACAGGAGAAAATGGGATTTACAGTGAGAAAACTAGGAACTTGAGCGCAATCAGAAAGGAAGATGGGGATATTTCTCGGCGAGCTAGAAGGAATGTGAATGGAGTGAATGGTAGAAGGCTTCAAGTATTAGCAACAGTGCCCATATCTATTCCCGTATGTATATTAATCCCCTTTCTAACCATAATTTTGAATATGTCACATTGAGGAACTTTACTCACATAATCCTATACGCACTGTGTTATCATTTGGCTTATATTTTTGGCTCATATATTTTTTTTAGTTGCGGCTAATTGTTTGATCATGTTTTGTTGTATCATATACTGTTCATACCGAATTTGTAATTTACAGATCTTTCGTGAAAAAGTCACCCTGGTAGAAAATAAATATTAACAAGAATAAATAGGAGCGCGTACATATGTGAATAGTCTGCTGCTCACCATCATTCTGCTTGTGGCTCCCGACTTGGAGAGGAATAGGGAACGGGTATCAGATGGTAGAGCCCCCATCATCAGGTTCACCTCTTCACCTTTTGTCCTAGTCTGGAGTAGTTTACAGCTTTTTTGTTCTCTCTCTCTCTCTCTCCCTCTCACTCTCTCTCTCACTCACTCACTCTCTCTGACTTAAAATAATATAATGATAATAGCGGGTGTCGTAGATCTTCTTCATACGAATTAAATTTTGTGTATTAAATCGGACATGTAATCCAAGTGTGTGAGCGGCGATACCCCGCCATAAAAGTGTGGAGATACACGACGAAACGAAAAAGAACACAGAACAAAAACTCCTCCTCGTCACTCTCGATAAAATAAAAAATAAAGGTCGTGACAGAGAAAGGGGAGAAATGAGAAAAATGCAGAGAAATTAATAGAGAGAGGAGCTAAAGACTGTTACAAGTAAAGAGAAAGAGAAGGAGGGGAGAAGTGGCATTGAGGGCGATTTATGAGAGGGCCTTTTAAAGTAAACGACTTCAGTTTTTACACCCATCTGACACCAATGACACTCATACCAGATTAAAAGAAAATGTTAATGTCTTCTTGCACTATCATGATAATTTTTTTCGTCTCCCACAGCAACGCTCCATTCTCGGCTTCCATTACAGCGATTGAAGAATTCAAAAATCAATTCCGTTTTCAGACACAAATTTGTTACCTCTGGAGTAAGAGATCTATTTTTGTAAAAATGGTATCTAGATGAAAATTCCTTGTTTGGGGAAAATCAACTTAGCATGGTTGACACCCCAACCTTTTGAAAAAAGCAAGTGAGTGACTGAACCATTGGTAACTATAGAAGGTTGTTCTTGTGTCGTCAGATACGGTGATGAAGTCTGGTTTATTATTACTATTCACAATTTGTTTCTACTTGTCAGAAAATGTTTATTTTGCTGAATGTTGATCTGACATAAATACATTTTGCAAATTGTTTACTCATTCTCCTTGCATCGAAACTCAATAGGGACAACATCAAAATGACGGTTTGTATCCGGTTCTGAATTCAAGGGGGCAACCAAGTTGCTACGTTCATCCGATAAATATTACTATTAAGCTTTAACCTTTGACTCAGAAACAATCGCTCACTCTGCTGAATATATAAGAAAGTTCTGTGGGCAGCAACAATACAATCCATTATCACTACACAGCTGTAAACGACTTTCGGCGCTTGTCTCCAGAACTTTTACTTCTTACGCTCATCCTCTAATGAGTTGTGCAGAAGAAAACACCAAATTGTTGTCAAAATTAGAAGGGGGTGGTGATCAAAATATGTTAGACGTATTCACCACTTTTACTAAATACTTTCTTCCTATAATAAGAACGCATATAATAAACACAGCAGTATTTGACGGAGTCCCACTTTTACGTCTATACCACTTAGGCCCGGGCTAATAATGATTGTCTTCAAAATAGTTCTGATCTAGAAACATTGTTGTCTCAGTTTCTACTTCATACACGTTATCAACTGTAAACAAGGTATTGCAGACATTATGAATTTTCTTTTTAGGATGTCCTGGTTTTACTAAACCACCCCGAAAAAAAGAAAGCCTGTAGGCCTTTAAAAAAAATATTAATCATATTTTACTTCCCTCCTTCTGTTGAGTGAAACGCTGATCTGCCATTGACGGATGAATGTACTTCTTATACACTTGCACAGTGGGTCGTAGTGAGTGAAATATTGAAAATGATGACAAGCTTTTGACGTCTACAAACATTGACCTGCATGACTCCCACTTCATGCATTGAAGGTATTCTTGAACAGCGGAAGGGACTGGTGGTGCCGTAATATATATCTGCCAGAATTAATGCGATTGTGACTTTACATGTAAAATAAATGTATGTTTCCTGTTAATAGCTACATGGTATGAGGTTTGAAGGTGGGGAGTGATATGAAATCTTTTACGGGTCATGATAATAATTTGGTATTATTGACCTGCGATATTATAATCATTATCGAAGTGAACTGCATGCAGCTACCATTACCCCAGCACTGCCAGGTATACCCGTTAATTAAATGCACCTGGGTCGAAAGAGACGAATCGAGTGGAAACACATTGTCCAAGGATATCAGCACTGAGCAAGGACCTCTCTTATGAGGGTATACCTATGGCACCTCTCCCCTTAGTCAGGCGCGGATCCACGTAGATGGGGGGGGGGGGGGGAGGGGCCTGACCCAAAAAAGCAGTTTAAAAAAAGATGGTAACCACAAATTTACCTTTATCATGTTTTTTGGGGGGGGATGTTGAGTAAAGAAAAAAAAAGAAGAAAAGATTTTATTTTTAGTGCAGACCGTGGGAGGGGGGGGTGGCCCACGGTCTGCGCGATTCGTACATTTCTGCCCCCCCCCCCATTGCAAAATCCTGGATCCGCCACTGCCCCTAGCTGTTTGATGTAAGAATACACCTAAATATATTTGTATATATTACATTGGGGCGTGGGTATGTCTTATTCAATATCGTTATTTGATAAGATCAAAAAATAACTTTCGTTTCCATATTAATGCCATGGTCATAATGGATTTGACCACCTCTATAAACCATTTGTCACCATCACCACGGGTTTTCAATGCCAATTACCCCCCCCCCCCCCCCCTTTCCTCCTCATCCTCCACTTTCCTCACTTTTGGCTAAGTAATTTACACCCTTTCCATTCATCATGTACTCACCAAAATGTCAAAGAGATGCATCTCCATCATGACAAGACAATCGCCTAGAGAAATGTTCATGGATACGTTTTCCTGCCAGATTGGATGTTTTTTATGTTAGTAGTAGGACGTCCGTGACATAGATACGTTCATGAACCTCTGGCAAGGAACAAACATATAGTTATACCATCTGATGGTTGGGTATCGTGCCTGAAGAAACGGACCTGATACCTAATCTCAATCAGGAAAACATTCATTATTTTTGCGTAGATTCAACCATCTTCTATTTGTATTAAAGTTGCATAGTTTTTTTCAAGACGGCAGTTTCGACATTTGCCTCTTCAATTGTTGGATTTGAGCATCCAGGCACGTTGTCATAAACTATTCTTAATTTCAGTGAACATCACTGCGTCCTCCAATTATCACGATGACAATTTCGTAATACACTCTGCAGTATACATACGTAACGACTGCCTGGATCAGTAGGCGTGCGAGTTGCAGATTAACCAACAGATATTTAATTAACAAGGTGTTATTTAAACTGTTTACGATTATGTGAATGTAAGTGAGAAAGGGGACACTGATTTACTGCGAGAATAAAGGGTAAAACGCTATTTATTCTTCATTTTTTGTTGTTAAAAAATGGAAATAAAATCATATGATACTTCATTCACTTAATTCTCCTTTTTTGAGGTGGGGGGGGGGGGGGGTGGAGTAGGGATGCCCGTGCTCCTTTTTATTTATTTTTAATCTCCCCTTTCCTCCTACTACTGCTCCCGCTCTACATCATACTCCCCGTCTCCCCCACCTTCTCCTCTCTATTCATAATTATGATCATTCTGTACAGTCATCTTGGAAAAACCTGGCTTCATAGTTCTTATGAAACACTGGATAGTTGCCATATACTGTAGGCCAAATTCTTCTCACAGAGAGACAGTATCGTTGCAATCAGTCTAGTCAGGTCACTAGGGATATCACTTGTGTCTAAACAAAATCCACTAGCCACCCAGCACGTGAAATGGACTTTATCAAGTTGAATATCGCCAGAAATATTTGTAGAATAAACACAACTTTCGTGCACGCTCCCATAAACTTGGGATCAATGGAAGTCTCGGGCCAAGCCTCTTATTCCACGCGAGTTGGTTTTGGGAAAGAAACTTGCTTTACGTCGTTCTACAATTTATTGTTGTCTACAGTACAACCATGCAGGAACGCTCCAGGAACATTATTTCCAATGAAAGAAGAAGGGAGGAACTTGAAATTGTGTCAGACGGAATTCGTTCATATTTTTTCCGTCACTTTGACCTGCTTAAAATTCCAACAGAAAATCGAATGCACGTGGTTATTTGCACAATCAAAATCAGAGACCCAAAACAGTTTCTGAATGTTGAAATTGTTGGTCATCAGCGGTTAGGGTCGATCACAGTGATCATGATGACATATAAATGCAGTGAGATAATGCCCAATTATAGTGGAGAGATGTGACACTAGATACAAAGGAAAGGTAAATAGTGTTATTTGAACCTATTCTTGGGTGTGCGTGTGATTGTGGGTACATGCACGTGTATGTACAATCGGGTGTAAATATTGCTTCCCAACGCATAGTAACTTTAACATCTTCATAGTTATATTTTGGGTTGCATTTCGAGAACTTGAATCCTCACTGACTGCCATAGAATCCCTGACTGAACTATAAACTTATGCTTATGATTATGTAAGAGTGTTTTTCTGGAATATTTTTTGGAGTGAATGAAATTTATTTTAACAAAATAGGAACTTAGATATATATCCCCCCCCCCTAGTTATGCTTGTTATAAAAGATGTAACCCCTGTCAAACCCATGGTCTGTATTCCAATGATTCAGTTAAACCCAACACTACATAGGTTTAACAAGTCACACTTACTTCCCTTGTTAAAACCCTTTTTTATACGATAACTTAGTATGTATAAGCCAACGTCGGGTTTAACTATCTGATGTATAGGGGCCAATCAATATTTGTGAAGATGATATTTTTATTAGCAATGTTAGATACAGTAAACATCCCTGATGTATGCCCCTGGCGACAGGGTTTCCATCCCTTTGAGTGATAAATCTTTGTATGTTGTAGTCCTCTCCCGGCTATGAACGGCTCAAGTTAGGTAGATAGCTTGTATCCGTTTGTAGCCTATAGGGTTTCATAGAGAAGTGTGTATTGATCTGAAGCTCATTCCAATAACCCCCGCCATCTCCGAAGGCGGGATGATCGGTCAATTCCTTATGGGTAAATCACACTCTGGTGTCCTCCCGAAGGTCATAAGGTGATCTTTGTATTCTATTTCCCTAACAGCTATGATGTGTTTGTGCTTGATGCTATCATCCCAACTATAAGGGGGAAGGGGGGGGGGTGAACTCGTCTTCATGTATCTGTATTCTTGCTCCTCTGTTTGACGGTTTATTATATTTTCTTTACATAGGAATAATCCAAGTTTGATTTTCACAAGTTTTTCTGTAAAGCTGTTATTTTGATATTTGTGCTGTATAATTTTAATTCGTATTTGGAATCGAATGATATATCCCCCTTAGAAAAGAATGCATCAATACCGCAAGGGGTAACAATCGCGCTTATTGGAACATTGTTAGAATGAGCCTGATTGATTAAGGCAGTTTCATGCCCCTTGTCGGAGTAATACATAACCAGAAAAACTGCGCCGTTTAGGGGATCCCTGAGATAAATAGCAATAGTTACACAAGCTATTGTTCGAAGAAAATTAGGTATGGACGAATTGCTATTAGCGTCACAAGATGATTTACAACACTTCATTTTAAGTGTGATTGAATGAGAGAGACAGGGAAAGAATGAAGGAAGAATGGAAGGAAAGAAGGAAGAAAGAAAGAGAAGTAAGACAGACAAAACGGAGAATGAGGAACAGAGCCTGTCGAACTCGACCTCATTCGGAGTTCACAATACCTACCATCTGTAAATCATGTAAGTCAATGATTGTTGTTGGTGTCGAAAGGTGAACAAACGAACAGATTCTTGGCAAAATCCTGCCTTTCTTACAGTGGATCCAATTAACATTCAAGTCGGCCTTTTATGGTAGCTTTTGTAGCTTTGTAACACCAACACCAAATCGGGCTAATGGGATTTTTCTCGTTCTAAAAGTTGTGGAGTGAGGGCGAATGACATGGGCTGGTCATATTTAAAAAAATCATGTATATTGAGGGATGAAGTTTCAGGAATGGAATCGGCTTGTGCGTTTACGGATATGTCGATTTGTTGTTTTTGTTTAATAAATCCAGGGGGCATGTATTGTGATTTAGGGTTTATCATGTTTATGAGATAATAATGGATTCCGTGTGTACCACCATAATATGGGGGTACGCTTTCTGAGCAGTCAGGTAAAATAACCACCACTACACACACAAACACACCCACACTCACACACACACACACACACACACACGCACACTATTGTCTAACATTCAAGGCCTCTGAAATGTTTCTTTTCGGCAATACACAAGAACCAGATCTTTTTTCCTGAAGGGTACAGTACAGTATATCATCTACTTGAAATTATCTCTCAAACTGTTTTTTGAAGAATATTCGCAACAAAAAACATGGTTTTGTCCGCAAGTAGCTGAAATCTTACTCTCTCGATTCGTATAACATCATCCTTCCCATCATCCACTCTTATCGCCGTTTCGTCAATAACTAAACAAATCTTTAGGACTTTCCCGTAATCATCCTGCACGTACAGAGGTCAAGTAAACGAAGTACCTTGGCATAGTTTCCCCTAATCCCCGGCGGTGAGACGGAGAGGCGTTAGGCGACGTCCACTTACCGGTAGCAGTCGAGCATGAATGCTAACAACATGATCTTCACCTGTTGCTATAGCAACGCGATGAAGTTTTCATCTGGATATTGGAGTACTGGCATGTGCTTGGAGGTTTAGGAGGTTAGGCTGCGCACGTGGAGCGGAAAACTAAACTGCTCAGAGAGGATGATTGTGGCACAAACAACCCTTATTAAATCATATACTTCAACATGTCCGTCCAAATGATGTAGTTTGTATGGTATATCGGATAACATGCATGAAGGGCTCCACCGTAGGGAATTCCCTGGCTATCGTTTAACTTCATATTATGATACCATCTGTCTTATGAATAAAAACATTATAATCATATAGAGTACAATATTGTCCTCCAACTCGCATGGAAATTTGCCAAAATATCGCTGTCATGTAGCCGTCATCACTTGCACTTCAAAAGACTTCAGGGAAAGCAACCTCATGTTTTATTGCATTCCGGCACATATTCACTGATACCACCCCTCCCGCACTCAAACACGTACACCCACACTCACCCCCACACGCGCGCACCCAAACACACACGCCCCACTCTTCCCACATGATATGACATTATGTCGCATTAGTATGTTCAACTCAACGTTCAAGGTTCCAACATTGGCCTTTGTCATATTCCCTACCTCTTCAGTGATCCATCATATGTTTCTTGTACTTCAGTCACACCGCCAAATCGACTGCAAAACAACTCAAAAACTACTCTTGCATATATAATTTGGTGTCATATTGTGAATAGGCTATAATACACAGTGTTGATTAATTAGTAAGGTGTATGGTTTTCATATAACAAATTAATTGTTATTCGTGCATTACATTTTCTTCCCATACATAGAGCACACGGAAATTGCGACTTTTCCTAAACCACTGTACAATGGGCTCCACAAAGTATAAGCATCTCTTGATAGCTCCATGGTATAAGGGTCTCTTAAGTAATAATAACCCATTCATCATATTGAATAAAAATATTGTGTAACCTATATTATATTGAATATGAAATTGATATGCTGTAGCAATGACCCCTCTAGTAGTCGATCAAAGCCAAGAAACCCAATCTAAATACATTTCACGATTAGGAAGGTTTAACTGGGTAACGGATTTTACTAAAACATTTACATCGTTTACACCTCTATCATACATTATGGACTATTGTGTCCCACAGCCTTGCCCTTAGCACCAATGTGCAGATGCTGTATTTCATATTCCACGGTCCCAGCGGTGACATTACTGGCTGATGAATGCTTCAAACTTTGAAAGGCATAATATATCAATGTTTAGTGTAGTGGGACTTTGCAAGTAAGTAACTGAAGATGGCCGCGATCAGCCCATGGAAGAATGCAGACAAAGCTCTGACTGCGCAAAAAGAACTAAACATCAGTGCTGAGCAGGGTGACCCAGGGTTTAGGAACAAGATCATGTGAACTACATTTTCATTTAGAACTAAGTCCTTTGATGGATGGGGCATGTTAGAAAGCAGGAAGGAGATAGCTCATAGCGAGCGATGGGCAGAAAACATACATTGAATACACCCACAGGTTTTACCAGGGAGGTCCCTCCCACCTCCATGGCTGTACCCAATAACACCGACGACAACGACACTTCACCGACATCAAACCGATCAAAACATTATATTAAATCGAATGGCCAAACGTCCAATCGTTCTAGAATCGGTTGAGAGCTAGTTTGGTGGTGTGACGGAAGTATTACGGTGAGGTTGGAGGATCCTTCTAGTTTTAAGAACAATCTTCCTGTACAGAAAATAACAAAATTTCTGCCAACGTTTTTCCTCTGTCTCGTGATGAAATTCCAGTAACGTATGACGTGCATTAAACTTTCACCTTTTGGTGTCAACAAACATAAATATCATTCAGGTGACAAAGATGATTGCAATACATTGAACTCTCCAAAAGTTGGGAATATTTCAGGAAAAAAAATCATTCTTGAGACTTGTAAGGTGATTTGATATGAAATATACATCTTTTGAAAGAAGTTTAACACTTTATTTCTTTCTTGCGCTGTTTAGCTTTCAGGTGACAAGAATAAGTGCAATACATTGAACCGTCTGAAAGTGAAAATACGTTGAAAATTCATTGTTAAAAATTTGAGAAACTGGTTTAATATGTTTTCAATCAGGAAGAATTTAATTAAAAAAATTATCTCTTCCTTTTCTTTCTCCAGCTTTCTTCAATAGCAAACGTATGCAACTGGACAAACGGAGAATGCCCAACAGGTAACATTACTATTATCATGATTATAGTTATGGTATTAACTTTCTTTGTTTGGCATGTGGGAAAAGGAAATTTGTTCTTGAAGTATATACTTTTGTAAATATATCAATGACAAATAGGGTTTATTTGAGAATATCGGGAAATGGTAAAGAGCTGAGATCTCTCAACCTTGAATATCCTGGATGAAAGCATTTCGGAAATTATTTATTCTCCCACGATATTAAACCCCTTCTCATAGTAATTTATGTTTGAGACTATCGCATATCTTTTTAAAAATCTGATCCCCCAACATTAAATAATGATTTTGCTGAAGAATTATTCTGATAACAAGCTGCATTAACCTATAAATTATTGTAATATGGAACGATTTACTGATTTTTATTTTAATAATGACCAATAATATAGCGCTCATATCTGCCAGGTGGTGAGGCTCATGGCGCTTAGACATTATTAACCTGGTTATATAGCCGAGCCACCAATATAAAGTAACTAGCGTTTACACCTCACCACTTCAACACATTTACACCTGAGTTGCAAATGTAGATTAGCCTCTTGCCAAAGGACGTTAAAACGGGCTGGGATTTGAACCCCGTACCTTGTGATCTATAGACGCTAATGTATCACCAAGCTTTAACTGTCTTGGTAATACTTCTGTGCACAACTGATAATATAAACCCTAACGAACTCTCTCATAGCTCTTCCCGGTGTCACCTGATCCTAGAAAGCCAGCCAGAAAATCTAGGATGGCTTTTATCAGTGTATTCCATCTACCGGGGGACTAGGCTCGCTTAGTTACTGATTCTTATCATTTGAGGGTAAAGAACAGACCTCTTCAAACTCAATTTAAGTCGCTCTTCAGTCACAATCTATCCGCCACTCCTCTTCCTTTTAGAGATACAGTGATCTTCCAGGAAGCTTATATGTTCCTCACGTTCATGTCTCGAATAACGATCTTGTGGAGATACGGTTAACCGTGCCTTAAAAAGGTAACACTCGCTTTACATCAGTATAGTTGCAAAGCTGGGAAGTAGATCCTTCATAGTGGTTCCTTTAAGGTGCTGTTTAAAGATTTAATATAAAATTGAAGGTGACATGACAAAATGCACTGAACACAATCTACTGGCCAATACCTCTCTATCATTTCTAATGTATACTACATCTGCAAAAAGAGCTGATCCGTGTACACCTAAGGTTGTGTATAAGATTGAGAATTACACTGAGAATGACACGACACAAAATTACTCTATACACAATCTATACGCCACTATCTACACTTACATATTTACTGCAACTGCAAAGTGAAGATGTCCTCTTAATTAGTTGGAAGGTGCTGTAACACACTACGAATTACAAGACACGGTTAAATTGGAAGCAGTTTGATACACAAGCACACACATACCCACGCATGCTCATATACAAACAAACAGAGACATGCACACGAAGTTCAATGATCCTTAGAAAATGGTACATTTATTTGTAAACTTCGAATGAAGGTACATTTTGGTTCTGGTAAATGATCATAGACAACAAGTACGAAACGTATGCTTGATCATATTGATTGATATTAGATTATGTCATCCCCTTTTCCGTGCTTGAAACATTCTAAAAGGTTTCATGCAAAAACCATCGACTTTTATTTCATTATTACCAAGAATGTTACCCAGTACCTTTAAACTAACTTAGGCATGCATGCTAGGAAACCTGTAGCAAAGGTATCTCAATGGAGCGCATCTCTAGAGGAACTTAAGTAGAGCGGCCGGGTTCTTTTTGATGTCGATAATACCAGTTAGATGTTATCATGTCACACAATCGAGTAGGAGTCGGCCATATCAAACACCTCTTCCATTCACTAGTGAATTCCAGCTTGAGATTACATTTCGAGAATCACTCGATATGGCGCAATATAAACGTGGCGAACAAGCAGTCGCTGTTGCCCAGGGTTTTTCCCTGGCGGATTACATTTGCCAGCTTCATATCGTGTTGTTATTAGGCATCATGACGGTAAAATAAGAAGTTTGAAAGCTTAAAGATAAACTCCAGTACTGGTAAAAAAAAAAAAAAATTCTCACAGAATCAAACGAAACTTACACTGAATGTTCAAGATTACAAATAAATGACATGTGCCAAACAATTTTGGAAGAAAATGTATACTGGCTGAGTAATAAGCATAGAAAGACAAGGAATCAAGATAGTACTAGCCCCGACACCATGTGTGTTGTCCCATATATAGCTTTCTATGTGAGTGCTTGTTACTTTACCAAGACTCGGTCAAATTTATTATGATTTTGATGACTCCAGAACCTTGCAGTGCACACCAATACTTACATGCTACATGATCAACTGTTTCTGATCCTTTCCACACCTTTTCTTTCACAATGCAATCGCATTACCAGTACTAAAGTTTATCTTTAAAGTGAACTGGTAACGTTGTTGTAGGTTGATGAAAAAACTGCGTAATTTCTGTATGATATGTTACTTATTATATTTTTACTGTATTAACCCTCTAACATGAAAACAAAACCTGAAAACAATTCTCAAACCACAGAGATAATTATGTTCTTTTTTAAGGCTTTACTGTGCAACACCTCTAATATTTCACTTTCCCAACCAATTTTTGAATTTTCCCAACCGTTTTTTCCATGAAAATAACACATAAAACAGGCTTTAACAAATCTTTCAAGATTGAAATACGTGGAATGGTATATAGAGAAAATTCATTGCATTGTAAAGATTCACATTCAGCTACATTTTAATCTTAGTATAATAATAATAGTTGGGAGAATTAAGAAATCGATCAAATAATTTTCCCCCAATTTTTATCATTAATAATGGTCTGTTTTCACTCAAACTCAAACCTGTATATTTCTTATCTGAACAATGTTACAAAGTCCCTTTAAATGATTTACTTGTAGCTTCATAAAGAAGATCAATAGATTGACCCTTTAATTATTGGTACCTTTTTATCCTGCAAAAGGGGGCCAAAAACAATCAAAAACGTTGTGTCTACGCCCGTTTGATCTTAAACTGACAAAAATATACATGTATAAGTATTTTGATGTTACAATATATTAGCAAGTAGTGAATGTAGATTGTAGAGGTGTTAGTTATTTTTTATTATCATTATAATCAATTTTGGGGGCGACCATATTTCTTTTTGATTGACACTTAAACAACTAGCTCAGCCCATCTCCATGTTCAGTGACGATTAAAAAAAAACATATCCATGTTTTGATATACCTTACAATTTTACTCCAGAGACCGGGATACTTCTTACCTCTATTATATTCGGACTAAAGTCTGTATATCCCTGCTTCGTTTATGCAGCTTATGGCGTCCCTTATTATCAGGCAATACGATCTCTTGGTTATATCATGTACTACGTTTACTAATCATCCGTCAATCTTGCGACTATCTTAACCACCGTGACCCCTGCATTTCTTCACACTCAAACTGACAATTTCACTCAATTAAACGCTTAATTATAGGAAGCATGGCGTTCCCTAATTCAATCACCAATCACAGATGACAAAAACATGAGGGGGGGGGCTTTATGTTTTTCTAATTGGTCAAAATTAAGACGTCGTGGACAATGTATTCCGAGAAACGGTGTAGCATTTTTACTTTTCCGCTGTATTTAACATTAAAACGTATATTAAAAACGCTGATGTACTTGTTTTCTTCATAAATGATAGCTAAATTTATTAAATACAAATTTTAATTTACTATGCAATTAGCTTCCCAAATTTCGTGGATGAATTTGATTGCACGATAATAAGTGCTAACATCATCTAGTTGAGTACAGCGGAATCCCTAAATCCTACATCTCTTTACCTTTTTGTACCTCGTTTTGTTCATCCTCTTCGCTTCCACACTGCTGTATTCATAATGCTATTATCTATCGTAGATGTAGACTTATTACATGGTTTTCAGCATAGCCGGATAATAGAAAACTACGGGGGCATTTGGCTAAAAATGTATATAAAAAAGATGTGCCTAGACGAGGTCTTTCAGTACAGCCAAATATTATATACAATTTATTCAAGGACCAGCTGGAGAAAGTTGATGTCTTGATCACCATATACTTACAAGTATTATTTTCTAACACACCAGTGGGAAATTGCCAAACTTGCAACAGAATGCAATACGCATTATCCATTTAAGCAGGTTCATAATGAGCTGGGTTAAAATGCGTAAAAGAAGAGGAGATATGGACATAATGACTGATTGTCAAATATATTTTGTTTTACTTATCGCCTATACATCATTCAAATCTCGAATCCGCTTCGGGAATATTTTATAACTTGCTAATGTGTATTCAACACTAGATTGATATGGTGACCTTGACTCTTTGATTGCAGCTGATTAACGGTCAAAAGCTTCCTTAGTACTTTTCAAATCCCTATTGACAGAAGAGGAAACGGTATTACTGAGTGTGCATATTATGAGGAGAGGACTAGAATAAAGTATAGATAACTTTTATAGGGAATTTCACAAAGCCCATTAGAGCCCTAGATACAAATTTTAATAAACAGATGACAGAATGATAGATGACAAAAAAATAGTAGTACGTACGTAGGAAAATGGATTGCAAATCGGTAATCATATGGACAATTTTATGAGACAGATTATGCAATAAGTACGGGAATAAGTATCAGAAATACTTGGTATTATATTGGCTCCATGAAACTGCATGGGTATCAGTTGCTGTTTGTAGATAGCAAAACAGTTTTAAGATCTGAATAATTTTGCAAGAGATATTGTAATGTAAAAATGAATGTTTTCAGATGAACCCAAACTGCTGTAAATAGCTGTATAATTTTATATCTGCACAGTTTTCACCAAACGGATATTCTTTTCAATAATGAACGTATCAGACTTATGATTTGTTTGGAAATATAAATAAACTTAATAAATGATATTGACGAAACGTAAATAATTATATAACTGTATAATTGTATTATTTCAATTATTACATGATATTGTTCTTATTCTCAATTCTTCA